TTTCTCCATCCAATCTTATCAACACTCCTAGTACATTTAATGTTCCTGTTGTTTGTGACCCTCTAACTGTGTCTTCTTCACCATTAGTTTCTACTCCGCAGTCAGCTTCTTCTTCATTGCCTCTTCAGGTTTATAGTTGCCGAAACCAATCACAACCATCACCATGTGACTCTACTCAAGTGTCAGCTACTCTGTCTCCTCCGGATGTGATACCTGAGTCTGACCTTCCCATTGCCCTCCGAAAAGGTATCCGTTCTACACGTAATCCCTCTCCCCATTATATTGGTTTGACTTATCATCGACTGTCATTACCTTTTTATACATGTCTCTCCTCTCTTTCTTCTGTGACCATTCCAAAAACTGTCCGTGAAGCTTTAGCTCATCCTGGTTGGCGTCAGGCCATGTTAGATGAACTAAGTGCTCTTCATAATAGTGGAACTTGGGAATTGGTCTCGTTACCGTCTGGGAAATCTGTTGTTGGTTACAGGTGGGTGTTTGCTATCAAAGTTGGACCTGATGGTACTATTGATCGCCTCAAAGCTCGTCTTGTGGCCAAAGGTTATACTCAAATTTTTGGGTTGGATTATGGAGATACATTTTCCCCTGTGGCAAAGATGACTTCTGTTCGTTTATTTATCGTCATGACCGCTCTTCAACAATGACCTCTTTATCAACTAGATGTTAAAAATGCTTTCCTCAATGGTGATTTGCAAGAAGAAATCTATATGGAGCAACCTCCTGGGTTTGTTGCTCAGAGGGAGTCTTCTGGGATGGTATGTCGTCTTCGCAAATTCCTATATGGCCTAAAACAGTCTCCTAGGGCCTAGTTTGGAAAGTTTAGCAAGGTTGTTCAACAATTTGGTATGACTCGGTGTGAAGCAGATCACTCTGTCTTTTATCGACACTCAAGTGCTGGATGTATTTACTTGATAGTATATGTTGATGACATCGTTCTTACAAGTAGTGACAACAATGACATCTCTCAGTTGAAACAACATCTCTGTCACCATTTTCAGACCAAAGATCTTGGCAAACTTAGATATTTCTTGGGTATTGAGGTGGCACAGTCCAATGATGGTATTATTATATCTCAGAGGAAGTATGCCATGGATATTTTGGAGGAAACTGGGTTGATGAATTCAAAGTCTGTTGATACGCCCATGGATCCCAATACTAAACTTCTACCAAATCAGGGGGAGCTTATACCTAATCCTGAGCAGTATAGAAGATTGGTTGGAAAATTGAATTATCTTACAGTTACTCATCCTGACATTTCCTTTGCAGTCAGTGTGGTAAGTCAATTTCTTAATTCCCCATGTGAAGATCATTGGAATGCAGTCATTCGTATCTTAAAGTATATTAAAGGATCTCCTGGAAAAGGATTGTTATATGATTCTAATAACCATACAAGAGTTGTTTGCTACTCAAATGCTGATTGGGCAGGATATCCTTCGGATAGAAGATCTACATCTGGATATTGTGTCTCCATTGGTGGTAACTTGGTCTCATGGAAAAGTAAGAAACAAAGTGTTGTGGCAAGATCTAGTGCATAAGCAGAATATAGAGCTATGACCTCAGCTGCTTGTGAACTTGTTTGGCTCAAGCAATTGCTTAGAGAGTTACAATTTAGAGATGTCACTCAAATATCACTTGTGTGTGACAATCAGGCTGCTCTTCATATTAGTTCTAATCTTGTCTTTCATGAGAGGACCAAACACATTGAGATTGACTTTCATTTCATTCGAGAAAAGATTATGTCTGGAGACATCAAGACTGAGTTTGTTAACTCAAATGATCACTTAGCAGATATTTTTACTAAATCTTTACGGGGTCCTAGAATTGATTATATTTGTAACAAGCTTGGCACATACGATTTGTATACTCCAGCTTGAGGGGGAATGTTAGATATTGTTTAGATATTATTTGATATTGTTAAGATATTGTTAGATATTGTTAACCACAATATCAAACAATATCTTCTGTTTATTCTGTTACTTTCAGTTACTCTTTTAGTTATATCTCTCTATTATAAATAGACTACCCTATGTGTGATTTATACACAAGGGAGATTAATCTCAAACTCTATTTCTTCTATATTCAACAATTACAAACAATAAGCAATAGCCAACACTAGGTACCACCAACACACTGGGACAATATAATACAATGATAGAAATCACTTGAAAATATTATCCAGAACAACACCCTAAATGCATAATCTTAATCTCTATAAGAAATTAAAAGAAATGTCTTAATGATATTTTGAATTAATCCACAGTGAAAAGTGCACGTAAGTCCCTCAGAAATCTCTCAAAAGATTGCTCAAAAATTTGCATAAATCGTATATTTAAAAAGAGAGAGAAAAGATGTTTATATAGAAAATATTGTCAATTTTAAACGATTAATCGTGCATTTAATTTATTATTTTCACTAAAATGACCAATTAATTGATTATTTTGTAGTTTTAATCGATTAAAATAGAGAAGTATAACCTTATAAAAATTTCAATAAATTGTTTTAATTGATAATAACATATTTAATCATCTAAATCAAAGCAAGTGAAAATTGCTCTAAGTATAGAAAGACATTTTAACTAATGAATAACAAAACTAATCAATTGAAACAGTGAGACATAAATCTGCCATGCTCTAGTGGTCAATTTTAATCAATAACACCTCCAAATAATCTATTAAAACAGTGAAGTACAAAATCTCACTCAACATACAAGTATATTTTAGCTGATAGTAAGGTGATTTTAATCTATGAAACAATGAACCACATTTTCCAAAAATATGACGAAGAATATTTTAACTGATAAAAAAAGATAGTTTAATCGATTAAAACTCCAAAACATAATGGTGATTAAGTGAAATTAATTAATTATTTCAAATTTTTATCAATTAAGAAGCAACCTAAGAGCATTTTAACATACTAAAACCAATTTTAACATAATAAAATAATTCTATACCAAGATTCATTTAAAATTAAGGCAGTCATACTAACTTAGAGTATGATTAATTAAAGAATGGATTAAAACATACATACCAATAACAAGACACAACTGCAGCAATCAACACTTTTTTAATCAAAACTTGACTTCATTAAATCGAACATGTATAACATGTAGAGTTCTTCATGCTCTTCAATCTCCCCTTATTTGATAAAGACAAACAACATCAATGAGATGTGATTTTCACTGTCGTTCATGAAATCAAAGATACAAAGTTTACTCTAAAGATTTTGCAATATAAAGTGTAAACTTATATCATTTTTCTCAATGACACATATTAAAATGTATTCAATTCTTAATATTCTTTTCGTAAAAGTTGAATTTGGGGGTTTGAAAATGTAAAATAAGAATTGTAAAGCAAAATTAAAAACAAAAAGGTAGAAATCAAAATCAAAATCAAAAAAAGAAAATAGATCAATCCACAAATTCTCAATCAAACAATCCTCTTATCATGTTCTATAAAGATATTAATCCAAATTTGAACAATTAATCAATTCAATTAATCAATTAAACCGATTATACAAATTAAATTTCAATATCATTCAATCTAATCCAGTATCTAATTATTAAATATATATTCAATCGATTATTAATTTGAATTATAAAAAAATTCAAATTGAGATCTCAAGATGCAAAACCTATTGAACTTCTTGATCACGAGTGTTCTATCATTACACGAGTCTTCTCGGAGATAAACACAAGGAATTTTAAACAGGGGGTCAACATGTAAAAACTAATTATCATAAAAAATAAATATATTATATATTTAATATTATTAATTAAATTTAAATTTTAGAAAATAAAAGTTTATTTCATTTTTTCTCTTTTTTTTAAATGAGTTTATAATTTTATTTTTAGATATTCATAAAATTCAAACTATTTTTTTTTCATATTTTTAGATAATTTCTATTTTTTAAATTATATATATATATATATATATATATATATATATATATATATATATATATATATATATATATATATATATATATATATATATATAAAGTTGGTTTGGGGCGGGTGTCATGGCCCTAGATCTTTTCATTTTTAAATTCCTACACTTTCGAAGCTTTGTAGCGATTTTTAGTCTTTTAGTAGGATTTACAAGGCATACTTAATTATGATTGACATGTTTATAGAGTTAAGGACTTTAAATCTTTCTTGACTCTACTTAGGATGTACACTTCATGTAGGATTGTTAAAAAATGACCCAATTCGGCCTGACTTAACATACGGAAAAAAAAATTAACAATTTAATATGTTTTATATTATATTATATTATATATATATATATATATATATATATATATATATAAATTTTTTTATCTAATTTGACTTCTTCCTCGTATAACAAACAATTTTTTATCAACTAAATAATTTGGCAAACATTTTCTTCACACTTGTCATTCTCATCAATTTACTTAGATCATCAACCAATATAATAAAAAAAAAAGTTAAAAATAATTTTCTTAATATAAACTCTTATATATCTTAAATTAACATAACTCTTATTTATCTTAAATTTATAAATTAGATACATTGAAACTTAAAATACTATGCAAATATTCCTCCCTCCGAAAAAAATGTTTTCCTTTTCATCAATCACTAAAAAAAACAAACATTTTTATCTAGTTGATATGACTTTAACTACAATCTCATGCATGCATCCAATAACAATATACATCTAAAATCTCCAAATCTTTGAAAAATGGAGTCTTTGGTATTGAAAAGTTATTATAACATTTTCTTAATAAGAGTTTTTTATATATAAAAATTGAATGGAATAACTTCTTAAACTTTATATACTTATTAACTAAAACATGATTAAAAAATATTAAACATTTTTAATCCAGAAAAAAAAGGGGTGCTGGTGAAATTAGTTCCTTCCCCAGTGATACACCACAAAATCTTGTAGTTTTAACGGATAGGATAGGACTAGCAAAGCTCTCACTCCCTGTATTCTGCAAACACTCTCACACTCTCCTGGAAAATGGCTTCACTCTTCCTCTCCACACCCACAACCCCAACCTCTCTTTCCTTCACCTCATCCTCCATTTTCATCTCTTCACACCAATTCCACACCCACAAATTCAAGTTTCCCATTCTACCCCTCAACAACAACAACAACAATAACACCTCCTTTTCAATCTCCTGCACTGCTTCTCCCATTCCCGTCCTCAACTTCTCCGGCGAGAAGGTCGGCGAGTCCTTCCTCGACCTCCGTTCCGCCCCTCCCTCCACCGCTCGCGCTGTGGTCCACCGCGCCGTCATCACCGACCTCCAGAACAAGCGCCGCGGCACAGCCTCCACGCTCACTCGCGGCGAGGTCCGGGGAGGTGGCCGGAAGCCCTTCCCGCAGAAGAAGACCGGCCGCGCGCGTCGAGGCTCCAACCGGACGCCGCTCCGGCCCGGCGGAGGTGTCATCTTCGGGCCCAAGCCGCGCGACTGGAGCGTGAAGATCAATCGCAAGGAAAAGCGGCTCGCGATCTCCACTGCAGTGGCCAGTGCCGCCGCGAGCGCCATCGTGGTGGAGGACTTCGCGGCGGAGTTCGCGGAGAAGCCGAGGACGAGGGAGTTCATTGCGGCGATGAAGCGGTGGGGGCTGGACCCGAAGGAGAAGGCGATGTTCCTGATGACGGAGGTGCCGGAGAATGTGAGGCTGTCGAGCAGGAACATTGGGACGCTGAAGATGCACACGCCGAGGACGCTGAATTTGTACGACATTCTCGACGCGGAAAAGCTCGTGCTCACGCAGGGCGCGGTGGATTATTTGAATCAGAGGTATGGGGTTGATTACTTGGGGAGTGATGATGAGGATGAAGAAGATGATTATGAGGATGAGGAAGAAGGTGCAGTGGGTGGTGAAGGTAAATCGTTGGTGTTATAAACTATCATCATTAGAGGGTAAAATTGTTATAGTTGTCCAAATTTTTGGTTAAAACTAGTCTTAAGGGCTAGGTCTGTGTGGATAAGTCTTCAGGAATCAACCCGAGAAGAAAATAGGAAGGAAAAACAATGCAAATTTTCATATATAGTTAGAATTAACTTATGCTTAAGTGATGAAACTCTCTTGTATTTGGTTTTTCAAAAGATTAAGGGTATGTTTGGTCAAATAAGAAGAAAAAATGGAAATAACTTCTTCATTAGCTTATGCATAATCTGTCTTATAAAAGTTATCTTATGTAGTTTCTCTAAAATCTTATGAAACTTTTTAACTGTGACATAAGTCCATTAGAGCTTAGGGAAAACAAATTATAATTAATTATTTTATTCTTTTATATTTTTCTCTTCTATAATTGTTTATAGAGAAGTTTGTCCAAACATGTCCTAAATTTACATATAAGTAACTTTTAACCTGTGGAGAGGTTCTTTTTATTTCTTCTGCTAAGAGCTTCTTTTCAGAAAAAATTATGCAGGCCCTTAGTTCTTATACTTTAAACAGATTATAGTGGAAGAAGGTAATGGTTGTTGGTGTCATAAATTATAATAATCAAAATTTTAGATTATCGTTGACCCTGTGATTTCATCATGGTATTTGACATTGTGAAAAAAATTATAGACAAATGTAGTCACAGTGATTGTGTTAAGGTCGTGGAGTGTCCAAAAACCTTGACATTACGCTGTGGACTGTTTTTTGATACCTTGATTATAAGGAATGCTAATGAAGTTGTCGTTATTTGACTGGATTGCAATTCCATAGTTGGTTTCGGTTTCCTATGATAGTTTAGAATTGCGGTTTGCAACTGCAACTGTTGCAATTTTTAAGGTTTATGCAACTACATTGCAACCACAGTTGTAGATAAGGTTCTAAATTGTGGTCAAGGTTGCAGCTTTGTTGTGATTTTTGATATCATGGAAAATTTTGGACAAGTGGGACTGAAGTGTTGCAATAGTTGTTGTGGAGACCCCATAAATCTTGATGCTGCAATTCTTATTGTAGTTGAGGACTGTTTTTTAAATTTTAAACTTTTGTCGTAGTTGCATTTCTTCTGTTAGTGAATTGTGAAGAAGTTAAATGGTTGCTGTTATAAATTATAGGGTAAAATGTGTTTTAGGTCTCTTAATTTCCAGTTTGTGAATTGTTCAGTCTTCAGGATGTTTGTACACGTTTCACTGCACATTTATTATACAACCTAGGATCTACTTTATGTTATAATATTTGCGGAAGAGCTAGTGATGTGTCTGATTGAAAGGTTTCTGACCTTATTTGCGTTATATTTGGGATACAGGACCTGATACAGAGGATAGTGATGTGGTGAATTGAAGATTTAAAGTCTTCTTTGTGCCATTTTATAGAGGAAATTTCTGATACGGGGGATGGAAGGTCTGAAATCTTATTTGTACCAATTTATATGTTTCTCTTTCCTCTCCATCTCGTAGGATCCTTCCTTAATCCTGGTAATGGTAACATGTAAGGATATTTGCTTTTGCCCTATTTATAATCAATTGTTTTGAATAGTTTTTGTGCTGATAGATTGTTTTGTGCAAATGCATATTGATGGATAAGTCAATTGTTTTGAATAAATTCTTATGCATGTAGTTCCTCTTCCTAGTAATTTTTTTTTTAATATATTAAAGGCTACTGATACATTAAGTCATTGATAGTGTATTGATAAGTAGTACATGTACATGTTTTCCTAGTCCTTCCCTTGCTTCTGCTTTTTTCAAATATTTGTTCTGCCTCTGTTGGTGATTGTATATTGGTGAGACGAGTTCCTGAAAGGGTGTGAACATGGTTATTTATTTTCAGTGATATCCTGTTATTGGTGGTGTGGCGGGTGGTCAAGGTTGATAACTTGCTGCCATGTTCAACTTCAATGATATTCTAGGTTTTAGTTTGACTTTTTATTTCATTGTTATTTTATTTTGTTTTGTGACTGTAGATTTTTAGGTGACAGTGTATTAGTGATTCAGTTCCATGATTTCTATCTTTGACGATGGAAGGCTTAAACTAATTTATCCATTAATTAGTTTTCTTTCTCTAATGATGTCTATGTGGACCTTTAAATCAATTGTATGATGATGTGGATGAAAATGAACTTGTGAAGGGTCTGCGATATCTACCTTGTAGTGGGCTAGTTGATTAAGTAATGGATTGGTCAATTGAGCTACTTTGGTATATGGAAATTCAAGATTTATATTGAACCAACAGATAATGTGAGTGCAATTTCAATGGTACCAAATAGATTAGCACTGGTGGACTTTTGCTTGAATATGCAGTAGTCGTGTTCTAATCATTTATGCAATCAGGAACAAGGTAGTCAAATCGAGATTTAATTTAGGATTTGGAGGTTCTTTAAGATAGTAAATCAGGGGATAGTAAGATCCTACAAAATTCATACATATCCATATAAAGTAGCATAGATAAGCCAAAAGAAACTCTTTCAATGAAATATAAACACTTGATTAAAACTTAAAATCTCAAAATCCATAAAAAGGTCATTAACAACTCGTAAGCTGCAAATAACCATTCAAGCATAAGAAAATACCAAGAACCAAGTTCTTAATAGTGATACATTTATAGCATTAAAATTCAACTGAATTTGGGTTTGGGTTCGAAGACATTTTCAGTTTAGTTTAGCAGCTCCTCCTTAGAGACACTGAGGCAAAGAGGATAACTTGGCTTTCCCTACACTCACAAGTCAAATGCAAAAACAGAAGAGAATGGAGAAACCTAGAAGCCAGCAAAAGGCAGGCACAAAAGGGGAGCAGAGAATCATAAAGTGAACCCAACAAATAAAGGTGGAAAAGAAATCACGCAGCAATGACGAGTTTTTGTAACTTTATGGTCAGAAAACGGGTAAAATTGGTTGATTTGTGGTTCAGAAGAAGCAGGGTGAGTTTTTCAACTTCATAATGGTTGAAAACAAGGGTAAAATTGGTTGATTTAGGGTTTAGAACAACTTGGATATTTTAGATCCGAATGAGAGTTGCAGGTCATAAACCAGAAAAGAGTTCTCTCTGTATACATTTTCTGTGCTGTACACATATCTTCATCCACTTCTTTTTATTCCAGAATATTTACGTTTTGGAATATCCATTTCAAAATAAAATGAAAAGAGACAGATAAAGATATTTATAAAATGCAGAAACTTGGATAAAAGTTTTAGTGGTGTTTTTTCCTGTAACTATACAAATTTCTCAAGTCATATGAAATTTATTTTGGAATTAAATTTTTTGAAATATATTTATATATTCAGGAAAGTTCATTCTAAAATAAATGGAAGATCACTACAAAATTAATGGATTCTAAATATCTGTGCCCAATTCATTGCTGGTGTTATTATGTTATTCACAGTTTTATTCAATGTTATCCTCTGACTTACATGTTTTACCTTTTTTCATTTAATGTGTGTTCGAAGTAACTTACATTCACGAAACAAACTTCAAGTAATCAAAATTTAAGTGTAATAAATAGACATGCTACATCTTCTAAGCAATAAGATGCACTGTATTTCCAGCTATGGCTTGACAAAGACCAGAGAGCTTATGGCTTGCTCCATGTTCTTTTAAGTGTTTGTTTTGTATTTATAAATATAATTTCAAAACAAATGGTATTTGGTTAAAATAGGGTTGAACCGATTTTTACCCAAAATTTAAAAATCTTTTAACTCTTGCAAACTTTTGCAAACATGGGAAAGCAATAAAGATGCTTCAATTTGAAAAGTTTCGAATTAGAGGAAAGACGAAAGATTTTTACTATGACTAAGTCATTTTACCTAAATATTTTCGCACAAGTTTTGTATTATTTACAAGATAAGATTTTGATAAATTATTCATTCATTACTATGGTAATGGTTCTAGGAATTTTTCTTTTTCTACAATTACAAATCGTTACAAAATATGATAAGGATAAATAATAATATTTTAATCTGGCAAGTCAAAATTTACTCAAAATTTCACATATGATAAATTATGGATAATAATAATTAATCACATTAATTTTTATAATATATTTAACTGTATGCTCACATATACTAATAAAAAATTTATTCCACCTAAATTTTATTAATTATTAATTTCAACTCTCATAAATTCATGAAGATTTTAATTAAATTCTATAATTTAAATTATTCTTTCACTCATAAATTATTTGGAGAAAAATTAATCAAAGAGTAGCAAAAGTATAGGTTTTTTACAAGAGTTTAATGATTATGCTAGATAGCATTAAAACTTCTACTCTATCAACTAATCTGAAATCACCTTAATGTGTGTTTGAAGATAATTATTGTAAAAATTATTAAATTTATAATATATGACATTGACACGATTTATACTATTTTCTCTTTCACAAGTGTCAATAATAAAAAATATTTGCTTTAATTAAGAACACCTTAAAATGTCTTAAACTTGGTCAACGATGAAGACTTTCTACATGTGCCACACCCGCGAGGTGAAGGATTTTTAAAATTTAATGGAAGAAGAAGTAATTTGAGTATAAACAGTTTCATTAGTCTTTTTTAAAATTAAATAAAAATATAATAAAACCCTTACATCAATGTACGATGATTATGAGAATAGTTATGTCAAATTTAAAAAATTTAACTAATAAAATGTATTTATTTTTATTATAATAACATAAAAAATTTAAATATATTCTAATAAGAATAAACCATTGATTGATTATGATTGTATTTTCGTGCATGCATTAATTATTCTTTTCTTTGAAAGGGTTGCCACCTATTTTCACAACCCCACACATAAAATGTTTATTCATAGAACTGTGTAGTGTCCCTACAATGGTGGCTTCATCATTCCCTGAGAGCTGTCAATTTCTTAACCTAATCCTACTTGCTTTCTACTTTTGATTTCAAAATTGACTTCATTTATATAAAAAACTTGTTATGTTACTTCTTCTTTTTTTTCTTTTCAAAAAGTATATAAATAAATTTTAATTATGTTTATTCTTAAAATATGATGTTTTGTCGTCATTCCAAACTAATCTCCATAACATGATGTAAAGTATCTGAGTATTAGGTGGCAATAGTTACCAAGAATTAATTAATTAGAAGATAATAATGTTAAATAATGGTGGTTTAGGTGTATTAATTAGTTCACTTATATTCATCGTTTTATGTAGGTGCACATGTTTGGTAACTTATTGTGTTCAGCTTGAATAAATAATGAAAAAAATTAATTATATTCCTAACTTGCTCATATATTATGAACTTGACTTTCCTAAAATAAGCAATTTATTTTGAAATTTTTTTTCAATCACTAATAAATAAAATTGAAGAAGTAATTTTTACATGTTTTCCCTAAAAACAAAGTTCTTTTCATAATTTTTATTTAACTTCTAAAATGTTATTACTTACAATTAAAAGAGAAAAAATACAAAGAAAAAAAAGGAAAAACTAATTTATGTAATATTAATAATACATATATTTAGTTATTTAATGAAGGTAAATGGACAATTAGATTCATAAATGTGTGAAATATTCTTAATTTAGTTCCAACATATGGGTAAAAGGAAAGAAAAGAAAAAGAATTAGTCACAAGTTTCACGATAAAATATTTTTAATTTAGTGTGAAATTGATAATTTTTAATCCAAGTTAAAATTGAATAATAAGATAAATTCCTATGAATTTAACAACTAAGGTCATTTACCTTTTAATTAATGAATAGGTGAAATTTGAAAATGTTCATGAACGATGAACTTGTACACCCGACTCTATTTCCCATGGAGAATTAAAATATGTTAAATGGGTTGAGAAAAATAAAATAAAAATTGAACCTTTATGCTTAAGAATAAGATAATGCATATCCACGAGGAAGCTTCCACATGCCAAGATTATAATAATTTGCAGCACACCTCATCTGACCTACTTTTGGCCACATTCCTTTGACTAAGTTTAGTCATCTTCGTCATCACACAAAAATGTTCTAAAAGCTTTGCAATTTGAGGCTTGGAAAACAAGAAAATTAAAAAAAAATGAAAAATTTGGGAAAAGAAAATAGAAACATGTTGACAATTCTTTGCTTCTCCCCGTTATTCCCTTCTCCAGAAACAATACAAGTTTATGTTATGCATGTAGTTGGAACCCTACAAAAGTCTTGTACACATTAAGAAAAAAAAAAAAAAAATCAAATCTTTGAGCTTATTTATTAAAGACCGATTCATGTTACATTTCTTTTGGTACACTCTACTTTTATTTGAAATTATAAAATGTTAAGATTTTAAAATGTAACGTGAGATTTACAAAATTACATAATTTTAATGAATTTTAATGAATTTTAAGTAATAATAAAAATCATGTTAAAAGAATATATATTGATTACCTTTCTCTCCAAAAGAATATAACCAAAAATTTTCTTTGAAGTTTTTGTTTGATAAGCTGGTTGGAAATAAAAAGGATAAGTTAAAGTAAATGAAAATTAAAATTAAAGTTGTCTATTTAAGAAAAAAAATGAAAAGAAACAAAAAAAAAGGAGAGTAAAAAATAAGTAAAAAATATATAATGAATTTTACTAACTTTTTCCTATTAAAATAACCTACATTATTTTTTTATCAATTTTTTACCATTTTCATGTCTTTCCAGCCAAATATACCATAAAATTTTCATTGAAATTCAAAGTTATTCTTTTGATAAATTATTAAGTAGTAAGTGAATTAAGGAAAACAAATAGTTTAGCATAATTTAAAGTAGGTAAAGATGGTGACTGCAATCTAAAAGTTGAAAGGTGACCACAATTTAAAAGTTGATGTATAAAGAATTGGCATTACTATGCCATGATGTTTAACTACCATTATTAACAATTTCTAACTTCTTTAATGCATGCCTCTAATAATTCCTGCTTTTTAGAATATTCAACCTTAGCATAGACAATTATAGTATATGAATAAAATAAAAATCTTGTTTTTATAGAATAAATTGTAGTATATGCATCCTCTTTAAAATGATATCAAAAACATATTTTATCAATATCTTATTGATATTTATTAAGGCTAGTATACGTTTTCTTTTTAATTTTATTTCAGTTTTTTTTATACCAATATAGATGAGAATAATTTAACAAATAAATAAATAATAATAATAATAATATTTATGACTAATGTTAACTTTTGAAATATCACTATACCATGAGTCTGGTTCTATGTAACAACAAAGCTCAAAACTTACGTTAAAAACGTGAAAACCCAGAAACTATTGAAAACATGTTCTTTCTTGAAAATGAAAAATGGATGTGAGTATTAATTAGGTGATTAGCTGACATGTTCCAAACGCGCCACTATTTGGGTCTACTTTGAAATCTATATTTTATGTTACCTTATACCATACTAAACTAATATATTAATTAACAATGTTTATGTGTCACACTTAATTCTTAATATTCACCATGTTTCTTCATAAAGCATTGACTAGCAAAAATGGCTTTTTTTTTTTTTTTTTTTTTTAACCTGTGATTTATAAGGTAGCTTCCATGTAGAAATTATGGGAAAAGAATCTCAATGCATTAGGTAGAGGCAAGGCTGGAGAGGAGACTGACAAGGTCAATAACCACTCACTATTTTATCCACATATAGTTATGAAGTTGGTGACACAGTAAATGGAGTTGGTATTATATATAACCCTTCTGGCACAACGTTTTTCATTGGCACAACTTCATCCACTCACAGCCTTGAACCTTTCTTGTATACATTTTCTGAGAAAGTAGAGAGAGAGAGAGAGAGAGAGAGACTATAGACATGACTAAACCAGTTGCAGCTTCTTTCTTGGTTCTGATGTTGGCTTTTCCCACTGTATTTGGAGTTGACTATGATGTTGGTGACAGCAGTGGATGGATTACACAGTTTAATTACGACAACTGGGCCTCTGGGAAAACTTTCAGAGTTGGTGACAATTTGGGTAAGTCTCTAGAGATTTGAAAAGGAAAAAATTAGCACAAGAACTCAAGAAGCAAAATTTCATTTGGAAGCCATGTTTATAGTGTATGATGTTCTCTCATGAAGATTAACTTGGCTTTATAATGAAAGAAAATGATTGAATTTAGTGGATTCTTCTTTTCTCCAATGTCTTAAACTATGGTTACATGCTATCAAGATTTTGATATCTGTTTGTGAAAGATGTATACTTTTATATGAACTGAAGAATTTCATGCAGAAGCTAACAAATTTGTGATGTCTCGTGTTAAAAAAAAAAGTGTTCAAGTATGACTCGAGCCATGAAGTGGATGAGGTTGATGAGAGTAGCTACAACAGCTGCAGTTCAAGCAACACCATCAAGAATTACAATGATGGAAACAGCAAAGTTGCATTGACTGCAACCGGGAAAAGGTTCTTCCTGTGCCCCAGGACAGGGCACTGTGCTGGAGGCATGAAGTTGCAGATCAATGTGGTGGCTGCCAGCACCACCACCCCTTCAAGTGGCACCACCCCTCCAACCACCACCACCCCATCAACCCCTTCTTCTCCTCCCTCTGGGTCAGGCTCCCCTCCAACCTCCAACACCACCTCACCATCACCAAAACCTAATGGAGCAGTTGGGGCTTCCAGTGGCATTGGTCTTCTGGTGGCTGCTTCAGCACTTGTGCTTGCTTTCATGGGCTAGGGAAGAGACAGTGCTTGATTCACCTTTATCAATATGTTCTTTGTTTTGTTCATGGGTTGCTGTGACTTTTCATTTAATTCAGATGTTTACCACATTTTCATGTCTATCAACACACACATTTCTTTAAATGTTTCTTTTCTGATTTTATTTTTCATGCATTTTCATATATGATTTTATACAATCATCCACTTTTATAATAATTATTAAAATAGCAAATATTATAATTACAAAAAATAAAGATTTTCCATCATCCCCAAATAAATAATATCACAAATAAATAGTTAAATTAAAAAGAAAAAAAAACTATTTTTCCCACTTTCTTCTTATACCTACCATGATGGTGACATTACATGTATCTAGTTTCTTCTTTGTTTTGCTATCATTCTGTTAGCAATTATTCAACCCTAAAGATTCCACTTCACTTGCTAAATTGTGGTCTTTTTCATAGGAAGAAGGCATATTTAAAGAAAGTATAAAGGAAAAATAACTTTTAAAAATAAAAAGTATTTTCTCTCATCAATAAAAAATTTAATTATTTTCACTAAAATACACTTTTGATTTCTTATTTTGTTTGAATTTTTTCCTCAAAATTAAAACTATATCAACTTATTATGTGACGAAATAATCACCTACATCATGTTGACAATTAAGAATACAACTGGCATCAAATCATTAATAATTGCTACATAAAGATAGGGCCAACCACCACCACCATTACACGTGCTTATCACTTTAAATTATTGCCTCCATGTTGAAGTCTCATTTGTTGATCATTATTCTTTCATCAGATTGTTTATTTGCTAAAAGCTTGTTGTAATAATATTCTATTGATGACCATGAAGTAGGTAGACTTATATATATATTTTAATAAGAATATTCGACTGAGAAAATAATATCTCACTAAAATTAGTTAATCAAATATTTTGACAAAAATTAACTACAAATAAAATCCTTAAATATTTCATTCAATAATAGATGAATGAGTTGGATTCTAAAAATGCATCATTCGTCTATGACACGTTTCTATACTTCAAAAACATTTATAGAAGTGTTTGCATAGAATTCGAACATATTCATGTCATACATGTTGTTCTTTATTATTTGGATTTAAAAAAATATAAAAAGGTTAAATATATTTTTTTATATAATTATTTTGTCTAGGAATACGAGAAAATACATGTCCATTATTGTTAGAATCTTATTTTTACGTATTGTTTGTTTTAGAATTATAATATGATATTAATAAGTTGAGAAAAATAAATAAATTATTGTTGATATAGATTTCTAAACGATAGGTCATTAACATACCATAACAATAATAATTATAATAAAATTGTATCTAGTGAAATTAAAATAATTTAATTAATTTTTATATATTATTAATTATTTTATTAAATTTATAATTATCACTTCTACAAAAGTGGTTAGTTTTATGCCATTAAGAAAAAAATTATATTTATATATGTAGATTTAAGTGTCTTTCAATAACATCTACGAAAATAAGTTTCATATATTATTTAAAATAAAACTTGATACATATTTAGTTATTATATATATATATATATATATATATATATATATATAATTTATTAATTGTTTTTTAATCAAATTAAAATTATCATTTCATAATTTATATGATAAATAACTTTATAAAATATATGACATCATATAAATGAAACTCCAAACTGGAAAGAGAGTATTATACGCTTGGTAGCAGTGCCTTTATTCTTTGGGGTTATGTATATATAAAGACAGTTTCAAAATTTAAAATGTTTTGAGACAACTGGATTTGAAGTAAACTCCAAAGAAACAATAGAAAAAGAGTGTGGACTTGAAGTTTCTAACTGGGGAAATGCGCACAAAGTCAATTGTAAACTCCAATCAAACATACTTAATTTGTTTAAAGAGAAGTACAACTCCTCCACCAACAAATTGTAACTTAATTACTTTAATCCTAAAAGTCATAATATGGATTAAATTTTATTTTTTCATGTAAGTTTTTCAATTACCAAGTTTTTATTATGTCAAGACTTTTCTAAAAAAGGTTTAGGAAAGACTTTTTAAGTAATTTAGTATATGGGTTGGGTAACTTGTTACCAAAAATATGGAATAAACTCCCTAAACCCTAAATTTTTAAATATTTTAATCAATTAGTCTATTTAAATATTTTTTAATTAAAATAATTTTGTTAAAAAAATATTTTTTAAGATTGTTATATATATATATATATATATATATATATTATAATTCATACAATAATGATTTTTGTTTCATTTGTAATGAATTTATTAATATATTATGTGAAAGGAAATTTATAGATGTATAATTTATTTCAATTTATGTTAACAAAAAGAATTTTATTTAATTTTTTGTAGATATTAATTGGATTCTTGTAAGTTAATAGATGAACTTTTGAAAAGGACAAGTAAACAAATTATAATCCTAATTTATATAAAGGTTTTCTTTTATGTTATTTTTTATATGTTTTTGATGAAAAAATAAGTTATCTCGATAGTTAGATGCTTGAAATTTCAATTATTATTCAGGTTACTTTATATGGCTAATGATGAAACAGAAAAGGTACGATTCCTCCTATGTGGGCTTTTGTAGTATCACAGTTTCAAGCCCATTTAATGTTTGAACTTGAAAAATCACAACCTTCCTCATCTATTATTTGGAGTTTGTTTAGCATGGATGAGATTTTAAGATTCAATGGTTACAAGAAAAAAACAAAAAAATATTTTTAAGATATTTTAAGTCTTTTTGAGATAAAATTTAAAATTTAATCATAAAAAGCTTTTTCCTAATAAATAAACTGTTTTTATGAATATATAAATTATAATCTATAGCTATTTTTTAACAGTATTTTTTTTTCCGTTTCATACATATTATTTTAAAAAAACAACAACTATTGCCTATAAAATGTAGTTACGATGTTTTACTTATAATATTATATTTTTTACTTATAAACCTTGCGCTCCCATAGTTTATTTCTGTATTTTCATGAAATTATTAATTTGAAAAAATATTTTAGAGTATTCTAGATTAGTTGATGATGATGATGAATTACGTATAAAGGTTTTATCTGTAAATTTCTAGATTTGTTAATCTGAAATATTTTCATCAAACATATGAAATATGAAGATTTTTGGCTTCATCCACCAAACTTGAAAAACCAAAAATTATTTATATATTTTGAATGTTTTAATCTATAATTTTAAAAAAAATACATATTTCAAATTCATCAATTTAGAAATTTTGGAATCCATTAATCCAAAACCTCTCGAAATATTTTTTTCATATTGTCATGAATCATACAAAAATAATATTGTGTTTTTGTAGTAAAGATGAGATGCATAAAAATGCTATGAGATTGTAGCAACAAGAGTGATGTGGTCTAAGATAAATAAAAATAAAAAATATAATTCAAGATTTAATTGGATAAATTATTATAATTTTTAAAGACTTAAGACATTAAGAGGTTAAGTTGGTTAAACTTAGAAAGTTAAAATAAAAATATTTTAATCTTTTTGATGAAATTGGAATTTGAACTCAAAATTAATAATTTAATATTTAATTAATTTATTATTTGAGACAAATTAACTTTAATGATAATTGTTTTTGGTTTTCTTTTTCTTTTATTCAATTACAAACAGACCCTACATTTATATTTAAGATGATTGATTTCAGACAAAAATAATATATATTTTTGTTAGAGTAAAAATATTTTTTTTCTAAATTTTTTTTCATCTACGATGTTATCAAGAATTTATTAATTATCGTGACAATCATTTTTAAGTTTATTAAACTTTATCTATCATGGCTTTCTTTATTCAAGTTTGCTCCATTTTATTTTCAATCTCTAATTTTGAATTCTATTTAACTCCATATCAAACAGTATTTTCCATGCTCACAAGTGTTTTGAAGTATGCAGAAGTCTATAGAACTTTATATCATGATATGGTTGCTTTTGTGATCTAATTTACTTTCTTAACTCGAGACTACGTAATAATAACGTTAAGAATGGAAAAGTGGTAAAAGGAAAGAGATCTTTAAACCATAAGGAAAGTGGACACATTGATATTTAATATCTATCGTGGTCCTTGTTAAGTGGTAAAAAGTTGATATAATTATGTCTTGAATTGTTATGAAATCACTAACTTATGTTAATTCTGTTAGAAAAGTAGTTTTAGATCAAGAGGGGGGGTGAATTGATCTTTGAAAGTTTTTCGCAATTCACAGATTATCTAATTCGAAAATTAAGTTTACTAATCTATTCTTGAATCTCAAAGCAATCAATTAAAATAAGCGCAACAACTAAATTTAAATGAGAGAAAGGTTAAGGAAGATATCACCGGAATTTTATACTGGTTCACCCAATACCAGGGCTACGTCCAGTCTCCAGCCAAATTCCAACTGGGTTCCACTAGATTAAATGTTTTACAGATTCAACAATCTTACACCTAATCTAACACAAGAACCAAATTCCAGTTCCTGCACTTAACCTCTCCACCAAGAACCAAATTCCAGCTCTTGATAACCTCTGCAACCAAATTCCAGCTGCAGAGAAACCAGTACCCAAATTTCAGGCACCACACAGTACAAGAACCAAATTCCAGTTCGTGTACTCAACCTCTCCACCAAGAACCAAATTCCAGCTCTTGATAACCTCTACAACCAAATTCCAGTTGCAGAGAAACCAAGTGCCCAAATTCCAAGCACCAAACCTTTCACCAAGAACCAAATTCCAGTTCTTGATAACCTCCACAACCAACTTCCAACTGAGAGAAACTTGTGCCCAAATTCCAGTGCACAACACAATACAAAAGAATGAAAAAGAATTTACAAAGAAGAAACTAGAAAGCTCAAACCAGTTTATCCAAATCTGCAGAGAGTTTCTTCTTCAAAAGAATGCAAGTTGCCTCAAGAAAGATTTTCTAAAGAACTTCAAAAAATTGTTGCGAATCCTTCTTGAAAAAGTGCTAAGGTTTGCTTGAATG